TATTTTGTTTACTAAGGCACTTCTCAATGCTGTTATGCTGGCCTTAACTTTATTTCCTCAAAACAGGCAGAACTCTCTTGCTAAAATATAAAGAACAAGATGCCCTTCTGCTTCCATCCATCCAAGAGGTTTCAAACCCCTGTACCTGTAAGCCAGCCCAATTAAATGTTTTCCTTTACAAGAGTTGCTGTGGTTGTGGTGTCTCTTCCAAGCAATAGAAACCCTAAGACACAAGGTCTCACTATATAGCTCTAGCCAGCCTGGAAATCACTATGTAAAACAGGCTAACTTCAAATTCACTGAGATCCTCCCAGTGCTGGGACTAAAGGCCTGTTCCATCAAGTCTGCCTTAAATTATGCTTAAAATTTCCAGTTTCTGAATGTTTTGTGTTTCCTGCTGCTGGGACTATGTATGATACATATTCTATTTAATTAGGAACAAAGAAAACACTGTAACAGCATCCTATAAAGAATTAATTAAGGGTGTCCCTTCCCAGTATCTGAGCTTCGTGGAGTATTTTTTTCACTTGTCTATTGTATTCCAGATACAGGCACTTTGCTCTTTCTTTTGATATCTTAGGAGTTCTATATGGACTATTAAATCTGTCCAGTCTCTTATTCATGTCTTCATTCAAAAGCTGTCTTTCTAGAGCCACTGCCCACGGACACTATTTAAAATCACAAGTTCTGTCCTATTCTTACCCCATCCCGTGTGTCTGATTTTTACCTCTATTATGTGACATATCTGTGTGACGCCTTTAAAAAAATCTTTGTGTGTGTGTGTGTGTGTGTGTGTGTGTGTGTGTGTGTGTGTGTGTCTGTGTAGGGTGTGTGTGCTTGTATATTCACGTGTGTGTGCAGATGAGCATGTGACATAGCATGCATGTGGAAGTCAGAGGCGACCTCAGGCGGCCATCTCCATCTTTACCTTATTTGGGACAGGCTCATTTGCCACAGCCTGTACCAGGCCAGCTGGTGCCAAGCTTCTAAGAATTCTCCTATCTCTGCTTCACATACTGTTCTCGAATACTGGGAGCATAGACGTATGCTGTCACATCCAGCCTTACATGGGTTCTGGGGATTTGAACTCAGCTCTTCATGCCTGTGTGTCAAACACATTGTCCATTGAACCATTTCTTCAGCCCTCTCTATTATCCCATCTTCTTTCGATTTTTTTTTCAGCTCTTGCCACTAGAATGTAAGTTTAAGTAGAAGAGGGAACCTGTTCCTGGTTTTTGTAAGAACCCTGAGACAGAGCAGATACGCAATTGATATTGTTGAATGAATGAGGAATATAAATGCAGAAGAATATTATGTAAGGTTAACGAGAAGAAAGCACTCTTTTTGTTGGTAATATCAGAGAAATGGCATTTGAAAGTCGCTTTCTTTCAAATGGACATATGCTGGACATGACAGCAAGTACCTTGAATCCTAGCACTCAGGAGGCAAAGGCAGGTGGATATCTGTGAGTGTGATGTCAGCCTGGTTTACAAAGTGAGCTCCCGGACTGTCAGAGCTGTTACATAGAGAAACCCTGTCTCAAAAAAAAAAAAAATTAAAAAAAGAAAAGAAAATGGACATATGAGATGAATGATGAATAAATGATTTTCCTACACCATAATAACAGTTTCAACATGCTCACACTGATGCAAAAGCAGTTAATATATACTCTATCTTTTAGTTGAACTGATGACTGTATATATAAACACAGAAGAAAATACGTTCCTGACAATGGGCTGAGACTAGAGAATGCAAAGCTCCCAATGCAAAGTCGAACAAACAGATCCACTATTAGTACAGAAGTGGCACACCAGGACTCTCAATTCCTTTTATGGGGTATTTATGGCAGAGTTGAAGAAGAGCTACAAGGTCATTGAGAAAATGAGAGAACTCCAGACCTCAGCACTGGCTGGGAGTGTGGAGGAGACTGCAAGATCGTGTCTTGAAAGGAGTTTTATGAGCAGAGAAGACAATATGATACAAGGTGTGTAGAACTTACATCTTCATTATCTTCTGACCTACAACAACACGGTTCTCTGTTTCACTTTGCCAGTTCAGTCTGGATTTTGAAACAACAGACAGGTTTAATTATTGCGGCTTCAAGTCGTTAACCCGAGAAGCTCTGTGGTACGCTGTAGGTAGAAAGTACTTATCACAGCTCAATGTCCTGTCATTCTGAGCTATTTAATAGCAAGATCACCAGCAGAACATCTGCCAATGAGCCTGATGCCGGGCCCTGCATCAGTTGTTACTGCAGAAGGAAAAAGAGCAGGATGGACATCCTAATGTGAGGAGGCACCCAGGCCAGGCATGGGTGCACAGCTGGATGTCTTTCCACTCTTGCTTGGTCGTGGATCATCTGTCCTCAAGTAACACCAAGGACCAAATTTACTGGTGCTGGATATGGCATTGGGAGCCCCAGGATTCCAATATTGGAATTCATTTCACACAGTGGTGAACAAAAGCCCGAAGCAGTGCCTTTGATAAAACACTGCATCTGTAATGAAAGGGAAGTAGAAGAAAGAAATAGGGCCAGGCTCTCTTCTTTTGCTCTCAATGATAATTGTCATGGTATTTAATTCACAGGAACATTAGTGGAAAAATCGTATATGCTCGTCACTATGATAAGTGCTCAAATTAGAGATCCAATATATCATCTTCTCAATGGAACTAGGAAACAGCAGGCAAAGTAGACATTGGCAAGTTTATATTTCAATATCAGAAGTATTATGAATTATACATGTGAAAGGTAGAACATCCTACTTGCCCGGGGAAAGAATTCATAGATTTGGTAGCATTTGGACTGAACCTGTAGCATTCTAAGAGCCCTTGTATGCGAAAGAATGGAGTAGACACTCCAACAGTTACGTTAGAAATGCAGATAGATATAACTATGCAAGCATATGGCATGTTACAGAAGTACAATCTACAGTGTTACATACCTTACATTCTTGACATCTTTGTAAATAAGATTTTAATGACTTTGGGGGCATGCAGTGACTTTGCAGTGATTGCCCTTTAAGAGCTCCTGTGCAAACTCTGGATTAGGGTCACCAGCATGAGTCTCGACACCTACACAGAAGTCTGGTTACGCCGCCTCTGCTCCACCACATAGAGCATCGTACTCAAACTGCCTTGATGACACAGTCAGTACCTCTTCAAAGTCTCATCGCAAAGCACTTATGGGTAGGATTTGAACCTGGAGTCCCTAACTCTGAATGAAGGTGCTGAGACTGATACACTATGTCATTTCAAAACCAGGCTCCATCAGTTTTGTGTCCTGAAATCCATGGACTGTATAGATCACAGCAGAAAGGTTGCTAGGGATTTATATGGGCGAGACATAGGGAAGTGACACTGTTAAGAAGAGAAAGATATGTTCTGTTTGAACAAATTTATAAAGCAGCAACCTTAGACTCAGAGATGTAAAATGATGCAACAAAATTATAATACCAGGCTTGATCTATGAACCGGCCTCACATAATGCTCCTTGTCGGAGCTAGTGGTTTCCGGAGGTGCGAGAAAACTGTCGCTCAGTTTTGCAAATGAAAGGTGCGTGTGGTAAAAAGCAGGAATCAACAGGGAAGGTGTATTTGTGACTCACAGTTTCCTCACCCCTTTTAAATGTCTTTCCCATTAACACTAACCGTGAAGTGCTAGTGAGTGTGTATATGGGAAAAGAAGAAGGCATTGTTTTAGTGTCACTCAATGAACCAAACAGTCAGAACCACGGCTTTCAACTAATTTCTGCTCCAAACCATCATTCTGAGGAATCAGAAGTCTAAGATAGAGAAAAGAGAAATGTCTTGGTTATTAATATATAACTATTCCATTCCCAAGTATGATGATGTCCTGAGTGACATGAAAGAAAGGAATTACATGCTCTTTCTCTTTTTCAGTGACTGATTTTTTTGGGGAGAATAAGTACTCATTTTCAATATCTCTATAAGTGAGCCTGGAATAAAAGTCATATTTTAATGCTTGGATTACAGACCAAAAATTTGGCGTAACAGCCCCATTCATATCTTTTCCATATGCCTGTTTCCACACAGCTCATGTTTCTTGTTTCTTAATTAGGAAATAAGGAAGTGGAGGTTTGGCGGGGGGTGGGGGTGGGGGGGGTGGGGAGAAATTGGGAGACTGAGACAGAGAGACAGAGATAGGGAGACAAGGAGACACAGAGGAGGCATGTAGAACCACCAAGGAGAAAACTCTTTCCTGTTTTGGGCTCTTTGCTAATACACAGAACAGTCATCAGCTGAAATACAGTCCCTTGGGGACCAGGTCGTAGAGCGCACGCTTCCTCCTTGGTTGCTGTTCTGAGCCAGATACTCTAAGATAAGGCTGTTGGTGCATCATGAAGACACACAACCATCCCTATTGTTGAGGTTCCTATGGGGTTGTGCAGATGGCACTGGGCGCCCCCCCCCCCCCCACCAAGAGACCCACTGAAGCCTCAGATAACTACAGCTTTGGCCAATAGTTTGTTTCTCCATCTGTGATGCTGAGCAAGAATCAGACAGCCAAGCCTCTCTCACCCTTCTGACCCACAGAGCTGTAATGTAATAAGTATTCATTGTGTTACGTTTCTGTAGTACAATTTCTCATAAAGAAACACGAAATACAATTATTGTCCTACTTCTTACTTTTTAGATATTACTTTTGTGGCCTTTAGTGCTAAAAGTAATAAGAACCTAGATTTTCTACTCCCATACTCTGTTCCATAAAAGATTACAGCTGGACCAAGTGTTCTAGAAAGTACCCTGTGTTCAGCAAGAAACTTCTAGTGGTCTTCATCTCCTCCAGCTTCCTATTATAAGGAAACACTATTGCTGTTGTTGCTGCTGCTGCTGCTGCTAATGATGATGATGATGATGATGATGATGATAATGATGATGAAGATGAGATGAGTGAGATTATGTGATGATGGTGATGGTGGTGGTGTTGATGATGACGACGACGACGACGATGACAAAACAATACCACCACTACATGTGTAATTACAGGTTTCAGAAGTTCACATTTATTGAATAATTTTACCCTTACAACAATTCAATGAGGTAGATATTATTTCCACTTAACATGAAGGAACTGAGAATCTGAGAGCAAACATGTGCTGTTGAAATGCACATTCACTATAATAATTGGTATCCCAAATCATATGTCCTGACTCCAAAAGTAATATTTTATATAATATCAAGCTTGCAATGAAAATGACTGTCTAACTTGGTTCCCTAAGCCTTGAGACCCTCTTAACACCTTACTCTAGTTGATAACAAAGGGATTTGACAATTTTTCCTCTTTCATCCTGGTGTTTAGAAGTAGGGAAATGGCCCAGGCGGTGGGGGTGCACGCCTTTAATCCCAGCACTCGGGAGGCAGAAGCAGGCAGATCTCTGTGAGTTCGAGGCCAGCCTGGGCTACCAAGTGAGTCCTAGGAAAGGCGCAAAGCTACACAGAGAAACCCTGTCTCAAAAAACCAAAAAAAAAAAAAAAAAAAAAAAAAAGTAGGGAAACGGGGCTTGATTGTCCTCACTGTTTGCTTCAGTTTCTTCTTAGACATCATTTAGTGAAATTTGCCAATAACCAGTAACCAAATGACTGGATTTGAAACACTCTTTCCTGCTTCAGGGGACTGATCATATGAAAATAATAAACACCGAGACTATTGTCTTCTTTGGCTATCTAGGTTAGCAACTCTATTTACTTTTGTGATTTTTATGTTCTTTATTTTTATTGTCTCATTATCTCATAATCAGAATGCAAACAATATGAAAGTAAAGAACTAGAAAGGCTAAAAGATTTCTTTAGCCTTTGAACAAATAATTCACTTCCAGCATTTGGCAATGAGTTTCACTTTAAGGAGGAAGAACAATATCTGTAATATGGTATTTGTTTTACCCTTTCATTCCATATATACAAGATATTATTACTGAATTTTTATGGACTCTTGTACAAAAATTGTAAAGGTCCTTAAAGCCACCATTCTTAACAAGATCAAGCATTTCAATCATTTGAGGGAGATTTGGCTGTCTGGGGCACACCACAGGTACGTGCAATTAGCCTGAAGGAATAAGTTTACTTCTGGCTCAGAACCACTTGCCCTGGCATCTAAAACACAGTCATCCTGTGACTCAGCTGTCATAGTTGAAAATAAATCAGTGAGTTAAATAAATGAAAATCAGGTAATAAAATAACAATTTTAGCATTCTATTTTGAAGGGTGTGGTCTCACCATATAACCCAAATTGGCCTGGAATTTGCTCTATAGCACAGACTCGTTTCCAACTCATAATCCTGTTGCTTTTGCCTCCTGAGCATTGGGACTGGAGGAATGATCTACTACACATGGTTTAAAATTGTTTAAAGCATTCAAATAATAGTCATCCCGGGAGAGAGTACAGCTCGTGATCCGCTAGCAGATGTTGTTTGCATGCTTGCATCTTCCTATCCATGTATACCTTTCAGAAAGGCGTTCTTTACATTTCAGTGTTTTTAAATGTTTGAAGTACTCAAGGCAAAACTGTGTGAACTATTCTTAGAAGGATTTTTGAATAGTGAGTAATTTCCCCATGATGCCGAGAAAGAAAATTCTTCTTTGTTCAACACTGCAGTTTGTTCTCGTGTATCAAGACTCTGAAATATGAATTTCTGCCAAACTAAGGAGAGTTTTTAATTATTACCAAATAACACTGTCTATATTAGAAAAACGTTGAAAAATTCAAATACTTAATGGCAATAGAGCCCAATCAGAAAGAGAGAAAATGCAAGGAGGGTAGTCACAGACTCCATGACACCCATGGGTACTGCTCTCCACTGAGTTCTTCTGAGCTTCAGCATGGTCAGTTTGAATTCCCTGTTTAACTCTTTAGATAAATGGATCAATGATGCTTTCTAATGACCGTGTTACATGCTCTGCTGTGTTCTAAATGCCTTCAATTCTTCTGAGGCTCCCTGAATTTCCAAAATGAAATGGCTCATTTGCGGACAGTTTGAGCATCACATTCTTAGAGTACTAACTAAAGCCACTAAATGGAAAGTAACCAAACATGACAACTTTCAACTTTCAAAACATGCTTTCTCTTAACCAGAAACCGTAATTATTGTAATTAAGTCTGTCAATGACTTTCACTTAGGGAGCACTTATATGAAAGCTTTATTCATTTCTGTGTGGGCTTTCATCTTGATAACTTGGCATACTCAGGTTGGACGTGAGCATCGGAGTCCTTTGTTGTTTGACTATGTGAAGTAACAGAATAAAGACTGAAGGTCCTTCTTTGCATCATCATCTAAGTATCTCATCCTCATCTCATTTGTAGAAGAAGACAATGCTATGTGTTCACAAAGTTCAGTGTAATTTTCCCTTCCTAGTGACAGTAGAATATATGTTGTAGGCTTCTATATGACTTCATCAGGACCTTGGAAACAGTTCTCGTTTATAAAATATAAGGGAAAGGAAAAAAAGGGGTGTCAATTTAAGCTCAATTATAGAACAACTGCAAGCTACACATTTCACATGGCAAGGACACAAAACTGCAAGCCCCTATGCTGGACATTTGGCATCAGCAAAAATAAGATGTGTGATGGGAAGTTACTGAAATCTTTGTCCAGCATAGCTTATCTTACTCTAGTAGAGATGATGGCTGGAACACTCCCACCAAGTTCCAAAGAGCAGTGTTAGATAGTTCATAGATTATAAATACACTCTACCAACCACTCTATTCGATTGTTTGCTTGTGCTGAGACAATTCCAAGGGCTAAACAAGCCCTTTATTTTCAGCTATTGCCTGCAAACACTTTGTTAAAAGGATGATTTGTAGTCCTCCTTGGCTGGAGAAAATCAGAGCCTACAAGGGTAAAAGAGAGGTAAAAATTAATGGTTCTTAAACAATTTGTGCATCAGAATCACCTGAGAAGTTTAAGTGGTGCCTTGCCCCGCCTTTGTGATGCTCATTTAGTTCACCATGGGAGCAGCAAGAAATGTGTGTTTCCATAGTACCGTAGGTACAAATGATTTTAATATGAATGATTCAAAGAATACAGCTTGTCAAGGTTAGGGCAAGTTGAATCTTTCTCAGTCATAATCTGAACCACACTATAGGAAATAGAAAAAGTGTAAAGAGTATTGTGGGTAACAGTTTTCCAAGTGAGACTCATGGGGTACCTACCTTATTCAAATTACCAAGGGTACACTTGAACAAGACAAACTCCTAGACTGTGCCCCCCCCACCCCTGCCTCAACTTGTGAAACAGCCACTGTAGTGAAGGAAGACTGCTTCATGTCTTCGGTGTGGAGGTGCTCCCAAAGGGACTCCCAGATACACGAAAGTCTGCAACCATTGTCATAGGAGTTATTTACCCTGTTCATGCTGTAATAATTACTTCAAGTTATTTCTAGATTGGAATCTTAGTTTATTCAACCACTTTAAATCACCTATCTGGAAGAAAATATATAATTACTGGAGGTCTCAGTAATTTTGAGAGGTCACTCTAGAACTCATAATGTGTACCACAGCTTCAAAAAGTTAAATTCTGGTGTTAATGGACACAGGTAATACACTTTTATATTTACCTTGGGGAAATTTAAAGCACGGTTTTAAAGTCAAGAGGACAACAATTCTAGTTTTTAAGGTTATAATACGTAAAAGCAAAGTTGTATAAAATCATAACACAGCAAGTTTAGATGACCCACTAGACATTTGATATAACACAGCTCTGTTTGTAGAACTTTCTTGTAATGGCTAATCTTGGTTGTTGACTTGAATACATTCAGCATCAATTAAAACCCAAGCAGCTGGTCATGCCAATGAGGGATTTTCTTGGTGAGATCATTTGATGTGGAAAGATCCACACTAAATCTGGGCCACACCTTCTGGTGGCAGTCTACGTGAAAGCACATTAAGGAGTGAATCATTTACCTTTTGCCTGCTTACCCTCATGCTTGCTGACAAACTCATCTATATTGTTGTTGATGCCTTTTCCCCTACATTGGTAGTAGAACCTATTTCTTTAAGATGCCAATGTAGACTAAAAACCAGCAGCTTTTTCAAAATATGTCTTCAGCAGGGACTGCTGAGACAACCATTTTTGTGGACTGAATAACTACTGAATTCTTGGCCTTTCCTTTGGGAGACAGCCATTGCTGAACTACCTGGATCACAGCCGATAAGCCGCTCTAATAGAGTCCCCTTTGAACACACACACTCTCCATTCTATTTGTTCTGTTCCTATAGAGAACTCTGATGTATCTGTTTTTTATATCATGATATACATGACTGTGATAAATTAGTTCACTTAGGATGCATGGAATAAAAATTCTTTCACATGCATCCACTAGTGTTGGTTTGAGAGCTGGCACTGGAAAATGTGAGAGAAGCCCAGGTTAGAGGCCCAAGTCTATTGCTAACTGTCTGAGCACCACTGGGAAAGTCACTCACCCAAGATATAGTTTCTTGTTCTGTGCTGAATTAGGACATTTAAAAAAAAGAAATGTTGCATATGCATTAAGCTTGTAGCATATCATTTAATGCTCAAAACATACAGTGAGATTAATAATAGTACTTCCATTTTAGCTAGCAGAACACTAAGGCTCAAAGAAATCATAGTCCAAGAGAAAAGAAAGAAGGAAGGCTATACTTGACTTTAAGTTCATGTTCCTAAAGAAAACTATTACTTACATAATGGTATGCCCAATTAACCAATAATTATGCCATTTCAATGATAGATAGCGATGGCCCATAAGTAAAATTCCTTGTTATTTGTATCATTGAAATACATGCCATTGACTATCACTTTATTGTGGCATGATGGGTCAAGGGATAATGTTAATTTCTGAGTCTTTCTTCATAAGTTGAAAACATAGGTCAGTATCTTTCAGGCTCTTAGATAGCCAAATGCCCCAAAATATGACTTTATGTTGCTAACTATGTACTTACATTTCAAAGAAAATCAATATCAAAAATTAGCTTTGAGAGTATCGAAATTACACCACTGTTTAAAAGAATTTGTTTTTCCTATCCATACCTCTGCCTTTAGTTCTTTATTTTATTTTTATCTCTAAGAAGAGTATGACTCCAAGCACTTTGTCTGCAAGACCTAAAGAAATCCCTCACACCTACCAAGAAACTTTCTTTCTGCTGGCTAGCTTCCCTAGCATCAGAAGGTGCTGTTACAGGCTGGGAAAGAAACAACATCAATTGTCTTACTCAGCACTGAATCCTGCATGATACAATACCAACCTCCCAGGCAAGATATGTCCACTGGTGCAACAGCAGCATGATGGTTATGGGGTAGCCAACTACTTTCTGATTTTTGGTATTTAAAATATTGTCAAATCCCATGGTGGGGGGATGCATAGGTCTTAGGTGGAACTTACTATTGCTATGTTGCTAAATGGTCATATTGTCCTACAAATTGCCTTCAAAATATTTATACTTCTAACCATAGACCTCTGCTGGTCAGAAAAGCTTCTTTTTGCAGTTGGATGGAGTCTATGAAGATACTCATAACTAGTCAATGTGATAAGAAATGATGGTGAGTACTCAACTCTAAACAGAACAGCCTTATCAATCACCCTGCCATGCCTTAAAGAACACTGTGGAAGAGGAGGCAGAAAAAATTATGAGTTGTAAAATAGGAAGAATTGGTGTGAAATGCTTCGTTCTAGACGTGACACATCTGTTGGCACTTGGAGCAGCTGTGGTTATCTGCACAAGCCAACCACATTCTAGCTTGAAGGGTAGAAGAGCTGCTGAGAAACCAGGGGTTAGGGAGAATCATCTTTCTTTGGGGTAGTGGCACTGGCAGCAGCCTATGCTTCAGTTGATGGTCCTACATCCATGCACATATTGGTAGCAGGGCTTGGTGTGTAATTATTTTCATTAAGGCTTGAAGTTGGGAGGGGGACTTGCTGTTAGGATCCAGGGAGAGTTCCTAAAGCGAAATGAAGACTAGTGGTGGCTGTGATCATCCTTCATTGTATACATGCGTGAATTTTTCTTTTCTTTATTTACTTATACTTTTTAATACTTACTTTTATTCTGTCTACTAACTCTATGTGTGTGCACCATGTGTGTGTAGGAGTCCTCAGAAGTCAAGTCATTAGATTCCATAGAATGTGGGTTGCAGACAGTTATGAGTCACCATGTAGGTGCTGTGAACCACACCTGGGCTCCTCTGTTAGAGCAGTCAGTGCTCTTAACCACTGATCCATCTCTATAGCTTCAGGTACGAAATCTTTAGAGTACTTTTTAAAAGGACACATAAGTGACAAAGGTAATTTCTAAATTTTTTCCAGAGATATTTTACAGTGGGTATGCTAATAAGAAATAAGGCTAATTTGGATTGGACTGGATCCTTTTCTCCCCTCATAGAACACGAAGCCATGTCTATTACCTGTTTTCTGACAGCTAAGTTGAGGCCTTTGAACATCTCTTCAGAAAACGATGCCATTTGACATGAGACCTTTGGTCATGCTAAGTCATTTCTGTTGACTACCACATCCAGGTACATATTCCATAGTGAGTAATGTTTTAGACAGGGGGTGCTCTAGTTTCAGCAGATAAACTGTAGGATTTTTCACTTGTGTTTTATCTCACTACCGTTCCCTTTGTGCTTGAGAGAGCCTGGCCCTGGACCAAGCACACTAGCAGCAAGGGGCTGCTGTACTGAAGGTGACTGCTCGCATCGAATGGTGTCTGCTGTGACTGTTTGTGATTTACTTCTGTTTAGAAACAGCAGATTTTGTGCTTGTAGCTTTCTTCTAGCAAACATGGAACACACAGAGCTGCGAGAAGATACAGCGATTCTCAGCTGTCTCCTGGGCTGGAGGATTTATCAGATCAATTCTATTATGAAGGCCAGATGTTTTCAGGGTGGAGAAGGAATACACATTTCCCATATGTTCTCATAGCCAACTTGCATTATCGAAGGCCAGAGTTGTCCATGGCACTTGGGGCCCTATTTCAGCATACATTCTTTGGCTGAATACTGTTGCCCTGAAATCACATACTAGGGACCCACAGATGAAGGTTTTTTGTTTGGTTGGTTGCTTGGTTTTTGTTTTGTATTGTTTTTTACTCTTTGACTTTATTTTTATAAATTTAAGTCAGGATATAATTGAAAATATACACTCAAATATTAATGTTTCCTACCTCATAAAAGAAACTGGATGATCTGTCATGCAGAGTCTAATTCAGTGGCAACAAACAAACAGAGCTGAGTGAGCCCTCATGTGTTCTTCAGTTATCTGTAAGCTCAAGGGCTCCTGATGGGACCCCAGTGTGAAAGTAAAGTGCTATGTGCCTTTTACTGTCGTGTGAATATTTGCAGAAAAGCCTGCAACGCTGAACCTGCTCAATCTATCCTGTTGGTGTGGGATGGAGTGCGTGGGAGTTAAACTTGCATTTGTCCCCTTTTGTCCTTTTCTCTTACCTTCTGACCCTTGGAGGAACGTGAATTCAACATCTCTTTTCAGAATTGTGAAGAAAGAATGTAAGTGCCAAACCCTACCTACAGTTCCATTACAGTTCGTTACTAAATTTTTCTGCTGCGATCTGAACAAAGCAAGATCCTTCCATAAGCTCCACTTCTCATAGAATGCCAACTCAGTGTCTTTGGTACTTTCGTAGATTTCCAATACACATCAGTAAAAAAGAAAAACAAAACAAAATAACCCCTTACATTTTCTACCTAATCCAAATCTCAATTTCCTGAAATGGAATTTTCTTTAGATTTGAATATGAAAGCCAGAAAAGGCAAAATGAGGAGAGGGCATTAAAAATCTGTTAGTACAGAAGACATGACATAAAAATATACCTTTATTGAGACTGACAACATTAGGAAGTTTAGAACACACTATTTACAGGGAGGCAACAGGAAGCATGAATTCCTCTGAGAAAGTTTGATCCTGGGGGGCAAAATGTGCTGTAGGTTTGTTGCTGAGCCCTCTCCTACAGTGTCGACCAGAACCTGCTCCTTTTCAAGTCACTCCCTTGGGTACACACTCCCTTGGGTACACACACCCTGAATGTCAAAGCCCTGCTCCCTTGGGTACACACACCCTGTGAGTGTCAAAGCCCTGCTCCCTTGGGTACACACACCCTGTGAGTGTCAAAGTCCTGCTCCCTTGGGTACACACACCCTGTGAGTGTCAAAACCCTGTTTCCCTAGGTACACACCCTGTGAATGTCAAAGCCCTGTTCCCTTGGGTACACACACCCTGTGTCAAAGCTCCAGTATACTTTACCGCCCATATCATAAGGAAACACCAGTTCTTAGCTACTTTTGAACCACGGGGCAAGATCAGACTCTAGACAACTTTTACATACTGACCTTCTAGGGCCCGAGAAGAGTGTGCTCTTCCGAGGCCATTAGAGGCAATAACTGCAATCAGGTGCTTCCGGTCTTTTGTCTCCTAGAAATAAATAGTTTTTAAAAAATCAATAAAGGGGACACAAATCTGATAGTCTATTTAGATGATAAAAATGTCAATTATTCCCAAAGGTTTGTGACCCAGAGAGAGAGTTGGTAGAAATAGCAGCCACCACCCTCCACATAAAGTGATTATAGAATATAAAAGTCGTTGTTATTGGATAAATCTGTGAAATGGTGCCGTGCAAGAGCTGAGATCTGGGGAGCGGGTTCGGGTCTGGTGCCATTTTGCAGCCACTGACTTTCCGACTCTTGGAGAGCAGGCTTACAGAGGTGTGTTTCCCACTGGGGTTGGGTATGCATCTCTGCCCGGCTCTTGCTCCTGAGGTGACTTTCTCCTTCACAGTAGGTGACACAGCAGCGACAAGCTGCCGAGGGCTTCCCTCGGTGCTTGGACATGATGCCCGGGGCTGGCGCTGCTCCAGACACCCGCTCTAAGCTCCGGAGTTCTGGGGGCTCTTTCAAACGACTTCTCCTCTGAACGTGATCCAAACTGGTGTCAGACTGAGAAGAGCTGCTCTCATTCCAGCCAGAGCTGGCGCTCAGGCTTCTCAGGGGAAGAGCCAAGCGCAAGGCCTTCCAGAACTTGGAGCCAGAATGTTTGGACTTCTCTCCCTTCCAGCTCACAAAAGACACAGACTCCTTCAACTGCAGGATGCCTGGGTGGGGATGCTCGAGGGGACGGTACTCCACCACAATGAGCTTGGTGGCAATGGAGTTCTGGCACATGACGCCCAGCTTAAACTCCAGCATGCTGATGCTCTTTTCTGTCACATAGTCAGGGCTCAGGACAACAATCATCCTTCGGCTCCGCTGAATGAAATCAAACACTGCTTCCACCGTATCTACAGGGAAATGGAAAGATAGCATAGCATCTGGTAATGATGTCTTCATGCCCAGTTGGTCACTTTCTAGTCCTAAAAGGACGGGCATGAACAAACTTTTGAGAAAATAGAATGTCAAGAAGTCAAGATCAAGTAGCCAAGTAATCTCATTCACAACAAACTGCGAAGAATTTGTTCCTTGTAAGAAAGAGGAGTCCCTTGAATTTGGTCTCTCCCTACACAACACCCCCTTCCACTGCAGATCTCTTCGTGAAAATGTCTTCCCCATCATAAAAATAAAGGGAATGTGAATTTGAAGATCTATTTCAAAAAGCAGCGCTCTCTCTCTCTCTCTCGCTCTCTCTCTCTCTCTCTCTCTCTCTCTCTCTCTCTCTCTCTTCTTGTAAATCATTTCTTGTTTTAGAATTTTTATTTCCTTAAGTTTTATCTGGTGGCCTTAGATCAGATATATATCTTCAAACATTTGAAGTAGCTAGGTGCTATTGTGATATTACTGCTTTTTCTTCTTACATCTGGATTAAGCGACTTCAAGTATTTACTCTTATTCTATACCATACATAAGTTCAAGAACCCCCATCTCTTCACAGTCCTGAGAATAATAATTCAACTTGTATATATGTATTCTAGAAAAATATTTTGAATAAAAAAGAACATACTTACTTCTCCAGAAAGTCTGATTGGCAAATTACCAGGATTTACCACCTCCCTAGATTCTGAGTTACAGCCAGCCCCAGGTACTTAACATTTTGGACACAGTAAGTATTGGTCTCTATAACTAAGATTTCCTTCCTTCCTCGTTCCCTCTTTCCCACCTTCTTTTCTTTGTTGCTTCAATTTTCTTTTGCTTTTTCTGTCTCCTGTGTGTATGTATGTGTGTATAAAGAAGTGGCCTAAAGTCAATTTAAGAGCCGAATGCCACCATAGTAGTTGAGAATCAATCAATTAATTAAGACTTCTGGCAGAGCACTCGATTCTAATGTTTGCTGAGGGGATATGGACAGGTCCCAAAGGACAATTCTTCAAATGAATGCAGTATTTAACCCACGGTGAATTGCAGGGACTTAGACAAGATGAGCAAGGAAAAGAAAGCCCACCGGTGGGACTCTTACTACCCACAACTTTGAAAACATATGGCAGCCAGTGCTGAGGCTGTGTTTGCTTTTTTTTCAGCCTATAGAAACATTAAGAATTTGCAGTGAGTTTGATAGCCATGAATTTGAGAGGAATGAGGAAGCCAGGATCCTTCCCCATTCATTCTTTCTAATGAGCAGAGTGAATTCAACCTGAATTTGACTAAAAATTAGAAGACTTTTTTCATTCTGATATTGAAAGATTTAATTTTTCAGTTCTCAAAATCACAGGTGTGGATGCAGATGTGCAGGTGTGCAGGTGTGGATGCAGCTGTGTAGGTGTACAGGTGTGTATTTCAGTAACTCCCTTGTCCCATTCTTCCTACTCAGATTTGATGAACTGTCTTTAATATATTAGACATCACACCTGTGAGGATTCTGCTGCTTTACCTGGATCATAAGAAATAGAAAATAACCTTAAGACAACATGGCTAGATTTTCAACACAGGGAACTTACACAATCAAATCCCACAAGTGTATATGTAACCATATTAAAAATGTTTGTTAGGAAAATGTGTGTTGTTTTCAATGGGCTAACAAGGATGGAAGTAAAAGATAGATCTTAAACATTGTTTTGGGCTTGTGGAATTTTATATATATATATATATATATATATATATATATATATATATATATATATATATATATATATATATATATATATATATTACCTTTAAAGAAAGTGGGAGGTTTCCATTTGAAAGAGGACAGTGTGGATGCAGATCTGAGTGGTGGAAACAGACACTGACAAAGAACTGGAGTTGTTCCCAAGATGGGGCTTCTCCTGTGCTCGAATCTTTACTTCATAATTTAGAAACCAGCAGCTTCCTTTTATGCTATTTAAAATAACTCCCAGATTTTCAAAGCTATTTGAAGATGAGGGTGATCATTTATAATGCTAGAGTTTGTATGGAAGTGTAATGAATTAGGTGATTTATTGTTTGGCTCAGAAGAATGAGGTCTGATTATACAGCAATGGATTCATTTCCTTTGAATCACTAGGTTGGTTTTTAAGTCATGGTTCTGATCCAAAACTCTACAATCCTTAAGGAAAAGCATGCCTTTAAAAGTTGTAATACCCATGGAAGTCATATTCATCTACAAGAAAACTATGACTCTGACACTTTTTCTTTGCTAGGATTTTTGTAGAAGAAATCTCCCCTCTCACACTATGTCTTTCTTTCCCTTTTTTAAAAAAGGGAGCAACATTGAAGAGCCATCTGAATTCAAATCTTTATTTTTCCTTGATCTCTGTTTTTTATCTTAATACCTTTGCATCAGAGTGTATTATTCTACAAATCACATGTGATAAAAGCAAAGGTGTAGGGACATAACACAAACTAGCAATGGACTAAGAGATTGTGCTAGTAGTAATTGTTCTTATCTGTAGCTATTATAAACTTAATATGTGGGAAATTTAAACTCTATTACCATCATGAATTTACTAAGTCCATATTCAATAAACATATCAACTAATTTTATAATTTGGCCAAAACACAAAAATCAGAGCCAATAAGATGAGTCAGCAGGCAAAGGGGCCTGCCAATTTGAGTTTGATCCCTGGGCAGAATATGAGAACTGACTAGTGCATACTCCAGGATGGACGGACACACACACACACACACACACACACACACACACACACACAGGGATAGAAAATAAATAAATACATAACAATTTAATTTTTAAAATCCTTAAAAAGAAACACTGGATTGGTTGCTGAACATGTCTTTCATTCCAGGCTCCATACTTAGCTTGCATAAAAGATCTAGTTAGGGGTGTACACAACTGGATAGAGAAATTTAGTTCGGCAAATGGTAGCCAGACTGATGACTCCAATGCAATGTCATTACTGAGTCTTCTAAAGGGTCACTGTTGATGGGCTGAAACAACTTAAGACTGGTTACCATGTGTCCAATGTAAAACATCCATATACAAAATGTAATACAATGTATATTTCCTGCAATGGGGGGTTTTGTACATGCACAGTAGAGAATTTTGTTGTCGTTCAACCCTGCCTGACAGTTGTTCATTAACTGAATAGAAACCTGTGTCTTCATGACTTTGGTCCATGGATCCTGGCTCCATTCCTTTCTGATTGGTAAGAGTTGTCTGTATGTTAGTAGTGTTTGAAGCTGAAACCAGAGAAATGACTGTGGTTTTGTTTTAAAGTGATGCTAAGTGTGGCTCTTGCCTCCCCTCCCCCCACACACCTCCACCCTAATGTACTGGACTATCCACTTTACTTAAGCAATTCTTTTACTCATACACAAAGGAAGTGTTCTTGATATGAAGTCCACATTTTTCTTAGACATTTTTCTTATTCCTCAATAAATATTTAACTATTATAACTTCTTTCATTTCTTTTTGCAAGCATAATCATTCTTTTTACTTATTTCTCAAGCCCAAACATGAATATAAGGACACAAAATACATGCACAAAATAAAATTCAAAGGTGAAAATAAATGGTTTATTGTAAAAATATGTAAATATACAAATCAAAAGAAAATGGAAAATACAATGTTTATGAATAAAATTAAAAAGAAGGTCTTAAAGTACTAAAACCTATGGAAACAAATGCGTAAGTAACAAGTGGAGTGATGTTTTGTTTCCCAGTATAAGACAGTACTTTTTTATTAGGATCCCAGGGTACAAAAGAGAATTAAATAAGTCACATGTGGCTGTGTAAGTAGACACTCTATAACTCTGTACAGTATGGTTCTTTATTAACCTGGGTGCAGAAGTTCCCTTTACCATAGATCTAAAATTATGGAGGATTTTTTTCATAAGAAACATGATGTATTTTCTCATTCTCTGAAGTACAAGTGTGTGACCCTCTCCTCCCTCCGCTGTTCTGTATCAAGCATCTTCTGAAACACAGAGCAGAGTCTTGAAATTAAGTTCACTTAGGATGAGCTATGTTGTTGAGATTTGATATGCTTTATACTATAGCAAGGGAGCAGGCTCAATATAATGAAGAGGAATATAAATAGGAAACTGCAGAGGCATTTCTAGTGGCATGTAATAGCAGTTGGGATGAATACAGAATCCAACAGTGCAGAAACTGCACAGTGCAGAGAATGGCCTGTGGTGAGGAGCTTGGCCCTTGCTTCCCTAGAGCTCATACCTGAAGTGGGAGTCAGCTTTCATTTGGTAGTGTGATTAAAGGGTTATTAGTGGAAATGGTAATTATTCGAAATAACAAAAAGCATTAACCTTTTTAAAAAATTAGATGCCAGAATGACTATATATTATAGTATTATGTCAGGGATTCACAAGGGAACCCTTTTCAATTCAGAGTAATCAATAATTCTAACACATAGCAATGATTTATTGTGGACATACGTACTGATGACCACTTAAAAGTAAGAGATAATTTTAGAATTGCTTATTAACATTAACTTGGATAAAGTCTTCCTTAAATTATGAGTTATGTTTCCTAGGACACTCAGACTCATTTACACCTATACCTGTTTTTCTTCATCACTCAACAGTCCACACAGCTGAGCACTGAGATTAATATAACTTAGACTCTAAATGTGTCTGCAGGAATATAGTGGAAAAATCAACTGATATCAGATGACTATCTGCTGTGAGCCATGATAACGGGAGGATCTTGGACAAGAGATACCCCTGCACCCCAGATCAGCTGTAGGAATAGTAAGTCATTCATACTAACCCAGGGAAGGAAAGAGCAATGATAACTATACACAGAGAACCAAAAATTTACAAATCGAACAGTAATGGAATGAAAACACCAACACAAAGCCATCACACTTAAAATTAAAACATAATTTTAAAACTGGACAAGAATTCTACCGGCTTTTAATATCGTACCAATGGTTGTTTCAAGTTGTATGTGTGTGATTATGTATAGCCCCAAATACATACCCACAGATAATTTATAGGCAAGTGGATATACACACATACACATAATTTGTGGGAACTTCTATATACATACCCACATAAAATTCACATGTACAGAGATCAAATATGTGTATATGTATATATGTATATATATGTATATATATATATACATATGTATACACACATGTTAGACAAGATGCAGAAACTGGCCACTGCAAATGTAAATGTTGTGCTTAGTTTGCACTTTTACAAGTCTGAAGAATAGTAAAATTCACCTTAAAACTGAAAAAAAAACCTAGCAACTTTCAGGGTGATTCATTCGGAACAAGGTACTACATGTACTCGTGAATAGATAATCAGAAGTGGTCATTCTTTTAGAATAGTAATGCCAAAAGGAAAATCACTACCTCTCCACTCTACTTCATGATGAAGAGGTGTGAATGAGTGAGGATGAACCACTTTCCTGGTTTTCACATTAGTAAGGTTGGAATTAAAAGACAAATTGCAAGCATCTTGTTATATGCTCTCTTCCCGTGTCAAAAATGCCCTGGGAGCATTTTTATGTTTTCTCACTTTCCATTAGCACCATTAAAAGCTTGGTGCCACCTGTGAAATGTGTATGATGGATACAATAGGTAGGAAGATGTAGTGACAAGTATGGACTTATCTATCTGTACACCATTGAGAAATTACTATGATAAAAACAAAAGCCATACCTTTTTCAAGTTTATAAATATGATATCCATTACCTGAGATGAGGGCAAATGTGGTTTAGTAGCTGGAAAGTGGTATGACACTTAATCAGTCATGAGGTACAGCTGTAGTTTGACTGTTAGTCTTGCCGAGGTGGTGGATTCAATAGACAAATAAGCAAGGGAGTGAATTATCCTCAGTGGAAATAGATTTAGTCCCTGATCATATGTTTAATGGATGACTGAAAATAAAATAAAATTAAAGGGAAAATCCTACTGAGAAGCAGGTAATACTCGTGTCAGCAGGTAACCTATCATTAAAGGAGTTTCGAGTCACTGGGCAAAGTGGCTCCACAACGGTGAAATTTTTACAAAGAGATTAAAATAGAGGGAGGAACAGAGATGGAGGATGCACCAGACACATCTTTACTTGCAAAGATCGCCATGGCTTTAGAACTGGTGACAGACTGTAGAGACATCACTCTAACCCTTAGGATTGCCTGAGAAGCAGAACTGCCAGCCACACGGTCCCTAGGATGTTTTTGTAGGAGGGGCTTAGACAGTGTTCTTTTATCTATCTATGAAGCCACAGCCTAGGAGGGAAAAAGGGGGCTCTTCCTTCCTTGAGCCCATTTGTTCTTTTTCACTCCTTCATTTTCCCTTTCATACATTTTTCAAGGATGAATAGGATAGGCCCTGCTTGTCACTGCTGGACCACCTGGGACTCTTCTTCACTGGCATGGCCACCTGCAGCTGCTTCCAGAACCTGCCCTGGGGATACTTGGATTTCTCCCCTTTCCATTTAATGACCGTGAGCACCGTCTTAGCCCTCTTCAGCTCTTTCACCTTCATGTCCTTCACAGCTTTGTACTGTACTAAAATGACGTTGATGTTGCCCCGGGAGGCCATAGTTTCTAGGCCCGCCTTGAGCTCCAGGAGGGCTTGTGTTCCCTGGAGCACGTAGTTGGGGCTTAGGACAACCAGGAGGCGTCTGCTTTTCTGAATGAAGCTCAAGGTCTCGTCTGTGACAACTGGGAAAGAAAACACCATGGGGATTAGTGTTGGCCAGGAACTACCTGATGGGCAGAGCTCAAGGAGCAAAAGAAGGGAAGGGACTGGGAAAGACAATCTGAGCAACTTCATCTCCGGTCCAAACATACTGTCTGCGGAATGTCAACTCTGCTCAGGGAAAATGGCGTTATGTACAAAGGCCCCATGCCCAAAACATGTCCAAATAAGCTAACACCAAAATACAGTAGACTGATGTCACCCGGTCCTCAAAAGCACTATTTGAACAAGATGGGATAGATACATTGTCCTGACACCAGTCTCTTCAGTGTGTGGCCCAGCCAAACTAGCCCTGGAAAGGTACCCAAGAATAATCCATCGTATGAAAAGTCTTAAAAAAACATGTACTACAGATTCAAAGGCCCCAAGTTTCACTTGCAGCTAACCAAGGACAAGAACAGATTATGTCACATTTGAGACTCTGTCTGCTGATGTGTGTTGTGGAATAGAATGATTGTTTAACTGCTTAAAGATGTCTTGCATTTGTTTATGCTGCATTTGTTTAACTATGTAAAGATGTTACTTTTGTTTATGCTGAATTTGTTTAACTATGTAAAGTGTTGCTTTTTCACCTTGCCTGCTTAAGGCACCTGATTGGTCTAAGAAAAAGCTGAATAACCAATAGCTGGGCAGAAGAGGGATAGGCAGGGCTAGTGGGCAGAGAGAAAAGGGAAGCCAGCAAGCCAGGAGCCAGCCAGCTGGTGCCAGCCAGCCAAACATGGAGGAATCAGGAAAGCAGGATGAACAGTCCATAGATGATGTAAAGGATCCTCAGGGCAGCACACAGATTAATAGAAATGGGTTAATGTAAGTTAAAGAGGAAAAAAAAACTAGCTAGAAACAAGCCTAAGCTAAGGCCAAGCATTCATAATTACTAATAAGTTTCCATGTCATGATTTGGGGGCTGGCAGTCCAAGAAAGCCGGCTACAGATGTGGACTTTCCTGATGCCAACTGATGTCACTATGTTGCTGGATTAGTAACTCAAGCAAATGCATTTTGGCCATCAGTGTATTCCCACATCAGCTCCTTACTGTTCTCTGCTGTGGAGATGAAAGCAGAACATGGATCTTTCTCCTTAGCCTCCAATCACTGAGAAGCCCTTCTTCAGCAACTGCTAGCTGGTGTATTTACATTCACTAACTTGCAAAGGCTTTCTCCAAGTTGGAAAAAAAAGTGAAGAAAATGGAAATGCAGCCTAATTTTATTCAAGGGCTCTGATTAATTCCTGCTGCTAAATTTTTGGGACTAATCTATCTCCTCACAGATGCTCAAGGAGACCCACATAATCCTTCACCTGGAGGAGAGATGCTCGCTAGCTCCAGGCAATGCACTGGTGTTGTGGAAACCTGTATCACACTCCCCTCAGCAGTCATTTCCATTCTTAATCTTCACAGGTGCAGAAGTAATAGGGAAGGACTTGCCAATTAAAATCTAACATGTGCAGCCTGGGGAAGAATCCAGGAATGGGTATGTGTTTAAGTATTTCCACTGGAGGCTGACCATGCATACGCATAGAAAGAGGTCCAGCGGCAAAGTGGCCTCAGGAAGAGCAGCAAGAGGAATCCAAAGAGAACAGAGCCTGTAATATGCAAGAATAATTATGCATTCTTCAAAGGAATGTCAGCGCCCCCCCCCCCCCCGCGCCCCAGGTGGAAGGTCTTACCCAGATGTATACTGTTCATCTTTTAATCATTGTTCACATAGTAGATAAGATATTTTGATCGGCTTTGTGAACGAATAAATAGATGCATGAATGAGTTGGGCAAATTAAGTATTAATATGAGTAGAATTTTGCCTTTAGCTATCTATGTAAGTGATCATTTCATGGCACAATGACACTGAAGGAGAGAACTTCTGTGGAACACAAGCACAGCCTTGGGGTGATGGTTAGGCGGATAAAAGAACCGATCTACTAACTCAAAATGAGAGGGGAAATAAAACTGTTCTAGGTATCATTACCCACCCATTTCAAAAACATATAAAACGAACAGTTAATGGTGTGTGTGTGTGACGGGGGAGAGCTTGCTATGCTCCATATGGGAGGCAGTTCACTCATTTCAGATACGAGAGTCTTATAGGAAAACGCAGTGTTGCTGACGTGCTTGCCACAAAACTCCCAAATGAACCACGACTTTGTTACTGTTTGGACTTGAAAAGAGGAAGCATTGGTCACTAGTTGAAGCGTTTCCTTGTAAAACTTGATAGAATGCAATAGCCTTATACATTTTAAGCTAAAACTCAAACATACACACTGAAAGAAAAGGAAATACAAACGAGGAAAAGGCAGATTTGACTGGCAGCGTTTCACTGGCTCAGAAGGGAGGCAAGGATGAGAAAGTGGCAAGGGCATGTTGTATTAACAGGGAGACGCTTTATGTTCTCTGTCCTGCAACTCTGTTCCAGTTAAACGGACTAAAACTCAGTCTTTGTAAAGAAGCACTTTCTTGGTCTTTGTAAAAGAAAATATGTAGGAAAATTAATGCATGTCAGCCTAATGCTTCTTGAAAATCTAACTTCCAGTGAGATAGACTTCCTCAGGACTGGCCTCTTTTCTGACTTGGAGTTCTTAAAGATTACAATGGAAAATTTTAAAGCCATCAGCTAGGCTGAATAGTGTCCGCCTTACAAGGTAGCTGTGGCTCTGGAGAAGGTTTCCATTACTTCAAGGGGTTGTACATTCAATATCTGAATACCATTACTGTGCTACCACCCATTCATGTACCAACAGCTCAAGTTCCACTTGGCCCTTCAGGGATCACCCTTGGTGCTCATGTGAAATACCTACTTCCACCAGGCAGGCTATCTCTGTCGAAGATGCACAGCTTGTATCCAAATTCATTCTCCAAAACGCCACGGAGTGTCAGTAACACAAATTCCTCTTCCTCAGCATTTCTTGCATAGGACACATAAATATCATACTCCTTTCCATCTAGCAAAAGGAACACAGCCAGAGTAAATTAGAAAGACTTCTCAAATTGATTTTTTTTTCTCTTAAATCTGACTTCTGGGTGTTGGACATTTTCTTTCCTTTTTTTTTTTTTTTTTTTGCCTGAGTGAACAATGTGGCAGATTTCAGTATAATTCACAGTGTTCAGGTAGAATGACCATGGAGATTGAGATTGAGTCAGATGTGTCTTCTGCTCTCATCTGAGGGAGCAGACCCTGTAGCGGACAAAGACTGTTTCATGAATTAGGGGAGCAGGGATGCACTCCACAGGTGCTGGTAGCTAATGCCAAGCAGGAAATTTCTACTCAGTGTTCTAGAAAACTACTCACTAATACATTACAATTCTAAATTGAGAAAGACTTTTTAAAACTGACTAAATTATACCTGAAAAGAATGATAATTAAATTATGTTAAGGTCAATATATTGATCTTTCCTAAATTTGCTTGATAAAATTCATGAGTGGTTAGAAATATAGATTATGTGTTTCTTCCCAAGGTCTGCTGAATTAGAGTCTTATAGGGTGGGCTGTTTGTTCTTTTCTTGTACAGTACATATTCAAATGTCTCATTCATACTGCCAAGAAATTTCTGCCAGGAATAAACATTGGAAATATTTTTAAGAGTGAGAGTGAGGCAAATGATAAATCTTAAGCTATAATGTCCACTTGAGCCACCTGGGGGTATTATTAAAGTGTACATTCTGGTCCAGGGGGAATCATGTTTAAGATTCCCCACCTAAATGCCTTTGGATGATCATGATGCTGCTGGTCCATAGCTCTCCCCTTGAAGCCTGTGAACGAACCTACAGTTGGATATGGTGGCACATGCCAGCAATCCCAGTACTCAGAATTGAGGTCAGCCTGGGATATACAATGAGACACTGTGTGAAAACACAAAGGACAAAACAAAGCAAAACAAAAGGCTGTGAACTTGTACTGTCCTATCTAGTAACCAAGAGTCACATGTGTCTGTTGACCAGCTGAGCGCAGCTGTCTCTACTGAGATGCACCATGACTGCAAAGTAATATTCTGCATTTAAAGGCTGCAAAACATCTCATTAACTTTTAAATGTCATTTTTATGCTGAAATAACAATGTATGAATATTGAGTCAAACCCTTATTTTCACTTAAGCTCTTTGAACCATTGGGGGGAAAAATGTTAATTTCATTTGTGATATACATCACATTATTTATGTGGACAATGCTAGTCTAGATTAAATCATATTAACTTAATCCATCAGGAAAGGTGAACAGTGCATACTGGAAAGATTTTTTTACTAGTAAGAGCTAAAATAAAAGATAATCTTGTTAAATGCAATGGTTTATCTGCTAAGGAAACATGCAGTCTAAAGATGATGATACAAGAGATTTGCATCATACTTCCAGTACTTACCAAGAATTGTTTCATCTGTTCCAAAATGAGCCCGGTAAAAGAGAACCATCTCCAGCCAGTAAACATGGTAGACCACAATAAGAACCACCACCAGAAAGACTGTGGCTCCAAAACCACAGGCGAGTTCCACTGTGTACCTTGGCGGTATTACTAGAGCAAATGACAAAATAATAATAATGAGGATATTTAACTTCTACTTAGTGATTATAGTGACCCACCATCTTCTTCAAGGCTGCATCGGCCAAGCAGCTATGTCTGCCACTTGACTTGCAAATGTTAACAAGCAGAAACAACACAGTAACAGACCAGGCAATGTTTGTTTAATACTAGATTGCATCCCATTTATTTACTCTTGTGTTGTTGTTTATAGTTCCTGGCACAGAAAGTGCTTCAAATTACTCAGTGATCTGAATAGATCTTAAATGTATACAACATAAAATAGGATCTTAACATTAGGAAGGATTTCCAGGAAGGTTATCATATTCAACTCAACACGGCCTTGTGCGTGCTAGGCAAGCTCTACCACTGAATTATATCCCCAGCCATATACAAACTGAGAAGGTCTTGCTATTCGGCTCCCTCCTGTGTACTAAGATTGTGGATGTGCCACAATCCAGGTCAATGATAGTTTTGAAAGTGTTGTATCCAATGACTGATCATTTCTTGTAATGTTCTCCCAAGAACCCTCCCTGAAGAGAGGCCCATTATCAAAGGAGGTAACTTGAGCAAAAATCTTACTGTGTCTATTAATTTTGACTTCCTCCTCTTTCTAGCATCAGAGAATTAAATGTCAGAGAAATTTAATTACTTTCCTTTATTTAAAAGAGGCATCAAACTAGTATTTTCATTGGGTTTTGGCGAGTCTACAGAATGGTGAGTGGTATTTGGTTCTAGTATTCCCCAAGCTCACAGTTCTATGACAAATACTTCAAAGACTGACTTGAACTACCTAAGATTTGACTGATGATTCCTTGTTATCTACTTACTTTCTTACACTGTGGATATCATAGGTAGGCTTTATGGAAGTACCAGAAAGAGTGTGGCAATTCCCAATTTATTAAAAACTAGGCATTAATTCAGAAGCCCTGTTCACACTGCCCACTGCTCTAACCAAGTCTTCAATCACTGTCCTGTCTCATTTATGCTGTCCTTGCCTCTAAGGTATCAGGAAAGGCAAACAGCATGCTGTGATCATAGTGTGACTTCTGGCCTGAGTGTGTCTTTCCTTTCTTTTAATTTCCAAATTCATTTGCATATGTCTTTATTTTGTATAATCTTTAACCAATAAAGCTGTCTTTTTCAGCCTCAACTTTGTCCATAGAAATATCTACTCTTTTTTTTATTATTTTATTTCAGCATTTTTATTGAACTATAGTTAGACAGTCCTTCCCACTCCCTGCTAAATAAACGAGGCCTCCATAGCCTTCCAGGTGGAAACCATTTTTTTGTCCATCCTATCCCTGGGGCACCTGGGATCTCAACAAACTTTTCTGGAAATAGAACTTTACTTTCAGGATAATGAAAGAAGCCCAAAGCTACACTCAATGGCAGAAATATCATTCGCTTGTTATATGGGCTGAGGCACTGTAGCTGATGACTTTGAGGAGGAAACAGGGTAATTTGCTGGAAATGAAGCAGGGGTTCATATTGGCTGGCTTGATAATGACTCTCTTGGCATGTAGGTGCCAGATGCTTGGGGGAGAGAACTGCGAGATGATAGGAAGGGCTAAAAATCTAATGCAGGGGAAGCAGAGAAAGACGGGAATAATTCATTCGGTTAGTGTAAAAATTGTTACCGATGTTCGGAAAAAGCAGGTCACGTGGTGGGGCAACCTGGGTCAGATGGAGTAAGACCAGGGTGGGGGAGGTCTTAGAGCAGAGAGACAGCAATGCTTCCATGAGCAGCTGAACCCTAGGTGCTGCTAAGCTGAGGCTTGGGAGAATCTCCTCCAGGGCGGGACTGCTCACCAGGTTCTTTTCATAGTGCACAGGTTTTTCTGGAATGCTGCTATAGTGTTAGATTATTGATCATATGCTGGGGGCAGGGGCTGGGAGGACTTTTAAAATGGTATTTTATTTAGCACAGGGGAGCTCTGGGGTTGATCAGTAGAACCTCGTTATCAGGTGTGCTCCCATGCTGGGGTCCAAGGATAATGGTCCTTTAAATGGGTGGGTGTTTTTTCCAAATGTCAATAGAGGTCTTGCTTAATGACCAAAAGATCAATTGCCCTATCTTCCTACTACCTCTTTTACTTTTAATAGAGCTTTTCAGTTTTGTTTTGTATCACCAATGATACGGCTTATATTTATAGATTGTATTTCCTGGCGTCATCTTGTTGTCAAAGACTCCCTCACGGTCCTTAACTAATTGGACCCCAACATTAATAATCCACCAGGCTGCTTTTCTATGGCTCTGAAGGGCTGTCTTGTAAAGCGGAGTGACCTCACAGGAAAAGTGACCCTTGGCCTATATTTTGTGTCCTTCCCGCTGCAAGTCTTGGCATTTGGCATAACGATTTTGCACTGATGCAATTTCAGACAAAATGGTTTCCAATCAGAAAGGAGTGACGCAATCTGACCACCCTGGACTCCTGAACTCCCTCTCTCGTTGATTTCACTAAGTCTCAATTAGAATGTAGCCAAATGCTGTCATTTGGTGATTGTTACTCCCCAAATCAGAGCTCACTTTGCAGTTCTGTATTATAAATTGGCCCTGAAGCCCGTGTACCCAGCCAGCCATCCTCGTTAAAAGAATGCGGGACCCCAGCACTGGTCCTGTCCCCTGCTTTGGGTTCCGGCTCTACAATAAGATTTGTCCTTGGCAACCCAAATTATTTATCTTCACTATTGTCCTTGGACTTGCCTCTCCCTCCAAATGCCAGCTGCCTGGACTTTCAAACGTCCCCTGCCACAGAGCTAGTCGGTACAAAATTCTGCATAATTTTTAAAATTGTGGTGATGACCATTTGTCTGAAATGTTCACAAAAGAGTGTTTAATTTAAGTGATGGCAAAACAGAATGGTGAATGGATCTTCAAATCTGAGGGGCTCAGGGCTGAGGCTACAACCTCTGTCCTCTGGACCTCACCTTTGTTACCTGAAGAAGGAAGTGATAATGAAGGAGCCTCCCCTCCAGAATACCTAAAAGAATGTTTTTTTTTTTCTTTTCACAGTTGGAGAACTGGTAAAAGTAATATAAACCCATAGTCATTATGTCTTTTTCTTTCCAATAATTACCAAAGATATTTGTAAGATTTTTGGTTCAGAAAGGCAAGTCATGAGAAGGTGGTGGTTGCTCTGAGCTAGGGAGAGAAATGAGAGTCTAGACTATTGTGTCGGGTTGAATTTCAAGGCCTAAGTAACAGAAAGAAGAGAGCGGTGTCGAAAGTGAACTCTAGAAATCTGCACGAGGTTATCTTTAGTCTGTGGCCACATGCAAAGCTGTGACACTTGGGTTTGCACTTACAGTGTCCTCTAAGACCATCCAGGAAATGAAAGACTGTAGAAACATATGCAAATCTGAGGGAGGCCAGGGGTCCAGCACCAGAGTGAAGACACAGTGGGCTAGCCTGTGATGCCAGAATGGCTGTGCCTGAGAAGTATGCCCACTCAACCCTACCAAAAAGGGCATTGCTAACTACTCTAACATGTGATCACACATGTGATCAGGATAATTCCAGAAGGTAGAAGAGAAGGGAGGGAAGGAGAGGAGACCTATGATGTAAACAAATTAACCACCTGCTACAATAAAACTCAACATTCTCACATAATACATCCAATGACATAACATCTATTATGTCCAGAAAAATGATAAAACAACAGACAGCAGAAAAATAAAAGGATCAATACTTAAAGACATATCAATAAGTAAAAAATAGAACCCAGAATTGGCAGAGATGATTGAATGACGAGCAAAGCACTTTAAAATTCATAGTAAAATGTGTCTGCTGAGGTTTTTTTTTAATGAACACTTGTAACGAGTAAATAGGTAAAAGCAATGGAGACATTCCAGTGAGTCCGAAATTCAAAACATGAAAAATACATTCTTGCAAAAGCATCCGAATCATTTATCATAACATAAACCACCAAAGCCTCTGTAGGCTCTGAAAAGATGGTCAGGAAATGATACACAGAAAGCATGTCTGTACATGACAACTTAGGAGAACTAGGAAGTATCCTTGAGCACAACTCAGAAAACTAACACCAGAAAACACAATCTTAAGGAAAAAGAATAAGAGAGAAAAAAACAAAAATCGTGAGAATTAGTGAATTTTGGAAGAGCACCTCAAGGTGAGACATAAAAATCAGTTAATTGTATTACTATGCATTATTAATAAACAATTAGAAAACTTTAAAAATCTGATAGCATAAAAATTAAAATCTTTAGAGACAAATGTGACATGTACTATAAACCTGAACACTCAATTTTTTTTAAGATGATGTAATAAATTACCAGAACTCTATATAAATGGAGAAGTTTGTCATCTTTATGGATTGGTAGGACCAATATTGTCAAGTGTTCTATATTAGTCACAAATTTAATACGGTCTCAATCAAAAATCTCAGAAGAATTTCATGTAGCATTGACAATCTGGTACTAAAATATGTAAGGAAAATATGTATTTTCTAAAATCGTGAAATCACCTTGAAAAAGAGAAGAGGGAATAGTGTCTTATTTAATAATTTCAAGCTCTGTTAATAAAATGGTATTCAACACAACACAGACCAGTTGATTAAAGGAACAGAGTAAGGAATGCAGGAAGTCATAGAGATAATTAAGTTTTTGACTGAGCTTTCAAAACAATTCAAGAAAAAAAAAGTGAGACATATTCAACATGATGTTGGAACAACCATTTCCGTGGAGAAACAGAACAAAGCCAACACGAGACTCCATCTGTAACTCACGCCCACAGAACTACAATCTGAGATGGAGCACAGGCCTAAATAGAGAGGAGAATTCTTTGAGCAAAAGCTTACTGTCGTTTGACTTTATATAACAAAGACTAGGAGCACATAATTCAGAAAGAACTAATTCATAAAAAGAGACTGGCAAAATGAGCTTCCTCAAATTACTAAGAATTTTGCTTATGAAAACATCAACTCCTGGAGCCCAGGGGTTAAGAGCACTGTCGCTCTTACAGAGGACCTAGCGGCTATACGGTAGCTCACAGCTGTTTTTAACTCCAGTTTCAGGGGGTCTGATGTCATTTTCTGGCCTCTGTAGGCACTAAGCACACACATGATACATATACACACATGATACATATACACACATGATACATATACACGCATACTGGCAAAATACTCATATGTGCAAGTAAAAACAAACCTTTCAAAAATGAATAAATTCACCAACCGGATGAAAATATTTTTAAAATTAAAACAAGTTAACAAAGGATGTGCATTCAGTGTATATATGTGTGGGTATAAATACATGTTTGTGTGTCTTGTATGTATGTTTGTGTGTAGTATGAGTTATATATCACATTAAATTTAAAACAAATGATCCATCTGAAAATGACTAAAGGTTTTTAATGGCCTCACAGAAAAGATTATTAATGATCAACGAACTTACAACAAAGCCTTTATCATCACCAGTGTCTCAACTGCGGTGTGGTGCAAACACTCATTTACTAAGAGGGCTAGAAGTACCGGGGGGTGGTAGCGCACGCCTTTAATCCCAGCACTTGGGAGGCAGAGCCAGGCAGATCTCTGTGAGTTCGAGGCCAGCTAGGACTACAGAGTGAGTTCCAGGAAAGGCGCAAAGCTACACAGAGAAACCCTGTCTTGAAAAACCAAAAAAAAAAAAAAAAAAAAAAAAGAAGAGGGCTAGAAGCTTAACAGTTGGCAAATCCAAGAGCTTGTGAGAAAAGATGGTGTATGAGGATCACACACACTGAGACTGGCAGTGTCCAACAGCAAACTTCTTTGGCAACTGGTTGGCAACTTCTCATATGATTAAACACACACATCTCCCTAGCACCTTGCTACTCTCTGATCATAAAACAACTACACATTTGGCATGTTTACTATAACTCTCCCATGTGCAGTAATTTAATGGAATGGATGAAATGTGCTGTCAACAAAACAGGGAATTCTCATTCCATGTGTTAATCTCTTCCTATCATTGTTTGCTTGTTTGTTTGAGAAGAGGTCTTATGTAGTCCAAGCTGGTCTTGAACATGCTAAGTAGCCGAGGCTGACCTTGAACTCCTAAACTTCCTGCTTCAGTCTCCCACATGGCTGGCCCACCCTTTTGTGCTTCCTGGCATCTTTTTGATGAGATACAGATGTAAAATCTACGAGTCAGCACTCATTGGCCAAGTGGGTCATATGTCCATTCACAGCCTCAATATTGTCTCCACCACATTCAGAACCTGAGTTTCTGTGCTACTCAGGTGGGCTGGCAGACATCCTTGTACATGTTTCCCACATAAAACATTATTTCACTTGTGGTTTGATCCTAGTCTTTGATAAGTTACCAATTTATGTCATCTTCACTTACTGTTCTACAAAGTGCATGCCTTAGAAGAAAACACCCAAATTCTCTGTACTTCAGCAATCTGGATTTTAACACAATTGAAAACACCCAGCCTGCAGCAACCTAAACCCCTGAAGACCTTCAAGGCTCTAAGAGGTCTTGAGCTAAAGTAATTTGATTTATTTTGTAACCTAGACTATAATGATCTTTATTTGATCACAGATGCTTTTGTCAATTAATGCCTATAAAACCCTTGGAGAAATAAGAGCTAGCATTTATTGAACAGTTGATAGTATGAATTAATAACAATGCTTGTTCTGAGCATTTTTGACAACCTTAGGGGTTCTGATATTATTTTCTCTATTTTTTATGATAAAAATAATGAGGCTCGCAAGTGCTTGACTTTTCCAAGATCAGAGAGCTGGGCTGCATGGAAACTAGGATCTCATCAGGCTATCCAAGGCTACTGCACAAACAATTCATTGTGATACTACAGTGATTCTGCAGTATCCACAGACCAAATGCTGAAGGTGCAAGCATCCCGTGTACCCATCCCCACAGTGGCTTCTGAGAGAGGAAGTAATGGTACATCCTCAACAAATTCTTTAAGACTTCTCAAGAGCTATATACATTTTCTTTCTAATTTGTAACAACACATTCAATTATGTCCTGTTTGTTATTTAGTTTAAAATAGATAGATAGATAGATAGATAGATAGATAGATAGATAGATAGATAGGAAGGATTTGGTCCCAATGCAAATGCAACAATTATAAGTCAACTTTTTCATTTTCTATATAAATGTTATAAACTGTATCAAATGTGAGGGGCTAAGATGTTCCAGAATGGCATGCTTACCATGTGATGTCTCTGTTAACTTTACTTCATACCACTAGAAAATATTATTCTGAAAGGGATCAATTGGATGGGATTTGTGTTAGAGGAAAGACCCAAAGAGAAATTTAGGCAATATGTTTCAGGAGCAACAGCTCACACAAAAAGGATTTATTTATTTTAGAAAATACAGATGTGAACACAGAAATTACTTTAACATCAAACTAATTCCTAATGTAGTAAGTTTTATTTTATCAATTATAACATTGTAAGACGGCCTAACTATTGATACATAATGTATAAAAAGTGAATTTGAAATTACATTTTTCTGAGATTCAATATCCTATGCCTTTCCTTATGTACTTGTAGACAAGTGGATGCCTGCTACTTATGTTTCAATCATTCTTACGCTTCTAAGAATAGTGGAGGATGCATAATTCAGGAAAAAATTCCCAAAGGAATTTTTCTTGTGACCCTTGAACTCTGCTTTTAGTTATTTCTAAAGGCACGTTTGTACTTCGCCAACAATATGTGACTCTAGCAGTTCCATTACATCTTTGCTAGCTTTGGATACTTTTGATTTTCATGGTTATCTAAGATATTAAATTATGTCTCGTTATTGCATTCATGGATTTTTCAAACACGATTTAGGCACTAAGGTGTTGACATAATCAGAACCAACATATTGAGCCTCTTCACAAAGATGGCAGCTTTCCTTTAAGAGTTTTCATTTAACTGACTCATTGTTTTGTGTCCGAGGTGCTAGGTGCTGGAGTTCTCCCCTTTATTTCTTATTCACCACAGTGTTATTTTGAGAGTTCACAGAGTCATCGGCTGGGTGCATCCATTACCTTTCTGTTTCACCTTGGCTGCTTGCTCAGCTTCCCCTTTGGTATTTCGAGCATGACAGACATAGTTGCGCCTGAGATCCTCAGGGGTGACTTTCTTGATGCTCAACACCAGAGTCCTTGTTTCATCTTCTGTTGTAGAATAACTTATACTGCACATAAGGAGAAAGAAATCAAAACGTTTGTGAGACACCGGGGCTATGCCCTCTGGGTGAATAAGAAGTAAACCACTGTAGAGTCCTGGGTGAGAGCAGATGTAATGCTGACAAGGGTCTCATCGTACCACACATCATCCTAATGCTGGGCAAACCCAGTGCTAGATTCTTACTCCAGCTCTTTCTTCACAGCTACATGCCACCCATGCTCTAGATACTGAGGCACGATGCTTGTATCAGCTTGAAAAGAATCTTCTGGTATCAGAGTTGGTTGGGGTTTGATCCATGTTTTGTCATTTAATGCTCTGTACCTTGGGCAATGTCATTAAACTTCGCATGTCTTGGCTGTTTTGTAAAAGAGTGTATTATGTGACTAATTTACTGAAAGACCCTGAAGACGGAACATGCATCTATGCTGCAGCAATGCTTAATGAATGCTCTTCAGAGCTATCCTCACCCCACAGTAACTGTCGTGCTGCAGAGATACTGAAAGCTTGACTTCCAAACCCAGGCAGAATGTTTGTGTGAAATGTTGCAACTGCATAGTTAACATGCAAGGAGAAGAAACAGCTCAGAACAAGAAACCTGAACTGTAAACTAAATATATCCAAACTGCAGTAAGTCCAAGACCAAGTGTTTCGTTTAAGACCAAGATGTAAAATCACTTCAACTACTTGTCTCAGGGGGGGTCTAAATATATCTCTCCTTTAGGTGACCAACATCCAGTTTTTCCTTAAGATTAGACATACTGTCAGTCATAAAAATGTGTTTAAGGGCCCAGTAGTTTTCTCCTGAGCTTAATTTCCTACTCTCCTGAACACTGCAAGTTTGTCTTAATTGCAGCAAAGTAGAATAACATGACTTTGCTCTCAGAAGCATTTGTTTAATATGAAGAGGAAAATCTCAATTCTCAGAATTCCTGAAATGATCAATAACTGTCCCTCAGGGCCTTGAGCTGAACCTTTCATCAGTTCCTTCTATAAAACATGCAGTACTTGGAGGCTTTTTTTTTTCCCTTTCATTTTTTTCTCTGCTTCTCTAATGTCCGGGTCTTTGAACACAACATTTCCTTTACCGGTTTTCATTTCTTAATTTAGCAAATTTGGTTTGAACACTGTTTCATCTGTGGAGTGCCACCTAATCCCCCCCAAAAGGACAGAATCTCCTAAGAACTCCTGTAATACCTACTCCTCAATCACTTATTTTTCATATAACATTTAAATGCCTGCTCTCTCACTGTTTGTTTTAACTAAGTAGGGTAAGAAGCTGTTCAAAGTAGATATTTTGTAATTTCTCCACAATCTCAACTTGCTAGTAGGGAAGAAACAGGTTTTGAATTGTAGAAATTCAATTAGCTTAAGGTCTGTTTGCACAAGGTGATAAAACTTGGGATCCTCCCACTACTCTGTGGCATACTTGACCACTGTGATATATTAGTTTCTGTAGCAAACCAATTCTCTCTAGCAATTTATACCTTGCTTATAGAGAAATCTTCAGTCTTCAGAGACTTGTACATTCCCCTTTGTTAAATCCTTAAAAATTTCAAGTTTACTTAAGAATAAAGTGACCCAAGTTGTCATTTTAAGAGAGGTCTGCATTATTATCTATTAGCTTTTAAAAATTAGCTCTTTGAGACTTTTGTACATTTACATTTTTAAAGTGAAATTTAAAGAACAAAAATGTTAACATTTAACAAGTAATTCTCAAGTATCAGGGGAAGATAGGAAAGGTATGGCTATGAAATAAACATAAATAGGAGAGACACAAATATCTGGACCACACTCCAGTATTAAGACAGATAACAAAAATACTTTCATGTAACCACAGCCCAACATTTCTCCTTCTCATTTATCTTTTCATTCATGAGGGAGATGAGGGAGATACATTCCATATGTTTCTAAATGAGAATCATAAACATGTGAAGTTTGTAGAGTTTAAGACAATATGGTACACGCCCTGTGGGACAACTGTGATGAAGATACTCAGCCTCAAGACAATGCTAACTCCAAACTTTGGCATGCAATCTGGCCAGAGTCTGCACTTGAATTGGAAGCTCAGTAGCCCTACTTTGGGATGCAGCCATTGAAGACTTGGAAATCTTGCTACATTTTATTAAAGGAAAAACAATCATCATGTACATTGAATAGTATGCATCAAGACCTTAGATTGAGAATGACCAGAGCTCCTACATATGCCCATGATGACCAGAGCTCCTGCATACGTCCATGATGACCAGAGCTCCTGCATATGCCCATGATACCTTTCATTAGTAGTTACGTCAGCAGTAACATCCTCAGGCTTCTTTCCATCAATGGTCCACCAGATCTCATTGTGGGATTCCATGATAAAACTGAAATAGACTTTACAGGGGATGAGAAGCTCCTCTCCTGATGAACAAACAAATTTAATAGATGCCATTAATCTATATTAATCCATCAATATGCATCATCCATATGACTAATGTGGGCCTGATTCTCTAGTGGCCACTAAAAGGCAATATACCATACGTCATTCTAACACCAAATGCACAAAAGGATAAAACCAAGAATAGAAGCCCAGTAATTGTAAATAAAATCACCAAAATGGCCATTTTTTTAAACACTGTATAAGTATGCTCTAAGACGCCAGAAGACCTCTGGCGACACTCTTTTTAGGCCCCAAACCTCACATTTTGTTATTTCCCTCACAAACTGTGACTGTCTTAGTTTCTTTCTTTTCAGCTCATAAAACACCATGACCAAGGCAAGTTACAAAAGAGAGTATTTAATTTTGAGTTCATGGTTCCAGAGGGTTAAAAGTTATGACCATCACAATAGGGAACAGGGCAGCAGGCCAGCAGGCATGGTGCTGGAGCAGTGAGCAGTGGCTGAGAGATCACATCTCATCAAAAAAACATGAGGCAGAGAGGGAATGGCACGGGACTTTTGAAGCATCGAAGTCCACTCCCAGCCATGGCTCCTAATCCTTCTCAAACTGTTCTGCAAACTGGGCACTAAGAATTGAAATATATGAGCCTATGGGGGTTATTGTCTTTCAAACTACCATAGTGACCAATAAGAGTCCCTAGATGATGGGTCCTTGAGGATGGAGTGATCTCATCACTAAGAGAACTGTGATGTCATCACTAAGAGAACTGGCCAGGAAATCCCCTTCTCCAAACATACAGAAACTTAGTTTAAAACAGCAGTTCTAAGCTATGTAGCTGAGATGGCTCGCGAGACGAGGGAGGTTGGTTCACAAATGGTGATAACAGTGTCAACAATCATGTCAAGACCAATATAATTGCTATGAACTTGGTAGAGCTAAATACTTACACTTGTTATGGTTTGACTTTATTACACTTGTTATGGTTTGACTTTATTCTTTCAGAGTCGTATACATTTCTATAATGAAGTTTAGCTGTTTTCATCCTGTCAAAACCATCATCTTTCTATTTCCCCAGTCACCTTCTTTTCACCAACAAGCCTTCTCATACTTTGATGTATTTTTTGTGTGTGTGAAGCCCTGAATTTAATCATGATTGCTTGCATGAGTGTGGGTGCTATTTACAAAACATGGGCAACTTATCATTGATTGAGGAAAATAAGTGCTATTGAGTGTCTAAATTCAAGTAAGAAATCTGTATCCGCCCTCCCAGAGCTTAGGAAACATTAATGAAGGTAAAGCAGAAAGGATATAAGAGCCAGGGGATGTAGAGGAGTCCACAAACCAGTTACTTAAAATTACAGACATATAATTACATGTGTATATGCTCCTTAGGTAAAGAGACTGTGTTATAGATGTATCCACTGGGGATGGGCACTTCACGACCAGTGGATCTCTACATTTTGATCAGTATTTTCTTTGCTGCAAAGAGAAGCTTCTTTGATGAGGGCTGAGAGCTAGCTGTGAGTATTTACAGAGAAGTCAGAAATTACACTGGTTTATGCAAATGGCAACAGTAGGTTCTCCTCTAGATTTCATGATCTTACCAGCTGGTTATGTTTACAGAGTCAGGCATGAATTCCTACCTATTGAGAAGGCTTTAAGTCTAATTGAGTAGCTGTTGGTTAGCCCTGGTATAGAAGTGCCATTATTGCACTTTTTGGGAGATCTTGATATTCTGGCTAATGTAGTTTGTAGGCTTTACAGACTGGTAGAACTATTAATCGCTTCTCTACTTGGGGAGCTTGCATATCTCCTTCCCATACTATGAGAGCTAGTCCTCAGGGAAGAGACGTCTAGGTTAGATCTAGATTGATCCTTCCAAGTTGTGTGTTCAAAGTATGCTGGATCATCAGTGATAGGATCTTACTTTCAATTTTGGAGAGGCAATCAAGGACAACAGTGACAGCCTATATTGTTTTGGGAGGTTTTTGAACTCTCCTGACCAATAACTTGAAAGGAGATTTCCCATGCCTCACACTGAATTTTGTTAAATAAGTCTATATTTTTTGGGGGGATCATTTTTATCCCAAGTGGTATAACTACATACATACATATATATATATATATATATATATATATATATATATATATATATATATATATGCATAAAATGTAACTTTAAGTAAACATAAAATATCATAATTCTCTACAGCTTCTTAAAACATCCTCAGGTTATATATTCCTCCTTCTTCCCTCTCCTGTGCTTCCCTCCTCCCTCCTTCCCAAGTAAGTCTTCCCTACCCTAGGTATTTATTCTTAATCAAACAGCATGAAGTCTTTTAAAAATTAATGTCTGACAGAAGCAAAAGCTGAAATGTTTGCACATTAAAGAGCGTTTGTAGGTCACATTGTTAGTAAGAACTGGGTAAGGATTTGACCCAGCTTGGAAGTGTCACGCCAACCTGCTGAGAATAACTCAGAATAACTTTGTGGTTGTATTCTTGGTTCACCATTGCCCAGACTCTGAAGAAACCTCTAATTATCTTGGGTTTAACTGACTAACATTGACTTCAGACCTTCCACTACAATGCATGGCTTCTCTAACTTCACCCTACAGATTCTGAGTCCTTGTTTCCATAAGGAAGATGAAATGAACAGGAGTTTAGGAATGCTTTGGAAGTGTGGCATGATAAGTAGGTGAAATGTAGTTGGGTGGCTGACAGGTTTGTACTTCAGCAGTGGCAAGAATGTTCAAATTACCACACAAAGCCTATATTAAGTCTAGGAAATACAATTCATTTGAGGCTGGCCAACCCTCTTAATGCGTCTTATACTCCTTACAAGGCAAATCATATCTGAAAACTCATCAGGACATTTCCTTTTTGGCAATCCACCTACACAATCTCTGGCTCTATAACCTTCAGTTCACATAAACAACTGTTCTTCTACATTTCTTATTGAATCTAGATTGGTTTTACTGTATAGAAGATGATGTAAAAGTATTAGAATTTTCTGTGATTTTCTACTCTACTGTAGGAGGCTTTCAGTCATATGAACAAAAAAAAATCTCTTACTTGAAAATTTATGAATGATTTCTTTCTAGAATAAAAAGTTAAAAAAAAACTTATAGGTGGCTCAGGGAGGCATGACAACCATTTGACAGTGTTCTGAAACCAGCGTTCATGGATCTGTTTTTCCCATGATACTCTCAGCTCTGTCTGATTCCATGCTCCATGCTCTGAAGAAGAAACAGAAACTTAAAAACTGTCTTGTGCTATTATTACAGCCTTGGCAAACCAAAGCCCTGTGCAAAGTCAAGTTTTCATCAGACAATAATCACGGAGGAAGACAAGGACCAAAGGATAAAGGACCCTACACTAGAAGAAGCTGAACTCCCGAGCTGCTGTGAGATCAACACAGCAGCTGATCTTCACATGCTGTGGCTTTTGATCAAACTTCACTTTAAGTCTGTGCATATCCTTACAATTAGCCTTTCCTCTCTCATACTAACCTGTGTTTCACTTCTTGTAATTAAGAGATTCTAACCAAATATCAGAATCACACCTCTAATTACCTGGTTCTTTCTCATAGACAACACGTTCATTCGGAGAATAGATCTGGGGTGGTAATGCATCTTTTGGCGAGCCTATGATAGGAAATGCAAAAGGGGGATGTTAAATCATTCAGGCATATGCAAAACTCTACGTCGAACTTGTTCAAATTCCTGGCATAGTTTGTCAATTCTTAAGACGGCCTACAGTCTAATATATACTCAATTCCTGGACTTCACTCACTGACAATAAACAAAATGTGATGTAATAGGAAATAAGTATTCATCGCTATTACTTATTCCCAACACAGAACTCCTGAGAGCCTGAGAGCCCTTTAATTTCCTGAGTGCTGTGGGTGGCATGAGCATCTTTCATCATTGTTCTCTGTTCCTTACTCTTAGTCCCCAGTTCCTGAACCAAGAGCTTGTGAGTCCCTCAGACTCTTTGAAGACAGAGCCCTCAATCTGTGGGGTCTGTGCAAACTCCAGGTAGTTAGTATCAAAATGACTAAACTGTAGGAAACACAGATGGTGTCTCAGAGAATTGGAGAATGGCTTGGTGTGGAAAATTCGCACATTTAGTGACAGAAGGGTTATGAGCACAGAAACACAGTTTTTCTGTTGCAAAAATCCAAACAAAATATATTGAATCCCCTGTACTTTTCAGGTGGGTAGTTTGTTTTATCAGTGTTTTAGACTTTCAGTGGTCATGTGGCATAGATTTCTTTTGCCATATTAGAAATAACTGTTTTCATGTCATATTTCTTCTCTTTTAATTTATTCCTCTTTTAATTTCAAAGCTACTTTTGCCTCAAGTATTCAACGCACGGAACTACGTGCTTTCCATTTGTAAACCATGCTTAATACCAATGCTTATTATCTGAGTATTTCTTCCTCAAGTGCTCATAATGTCTAGTACGGGACCTGGATACTATTAAATGAATATTTAGCTGCATGGAAAATTTAAGACACCTCTACATATGTCTGACTGATTGATACTGGATTACTAGTCAAATGTTCATGCATGGAAATGCTGCAATTTGTATTGTCTATACATGTGTGGATTACTAGTCAAATGTCCACGCATGGAAAAGCTGCTCTTTGTATGGTCTATACATGTATGTTAAAGTACCTTAAAAAAAGTTTTGCAGTGTAGTGTTTTTTTTAAGAAAAAATGTTTATTTTTATTTTTTGGATATGGATGTTTGGCCTGTATGTATGCCTATGTATCACATGCATGTCTGGTGCCCATGAAGGTCAAAAGAGGGTCTCAGATTCCTTGGGTCCTCTAGAAGAGAAGTCAGTAGTCTTAATCACTGACTCATCTCTCTAGCCACAGTATAGAATGTGAGAGTGTGGGTTTAAAGACTGACCAGGTTCTCAGCCAGATTTCTCCATATATTACTCATGTGTATATTTTATTTTGAAAAGTAAATTTTCTATAACTAAATATAGTAAATAAAAGTCACCTTGAAGTTTCATTATTAGGAATAAATTACATAAAACAAGTTAAGTAAAATATACCTAAGCATCCTTTAGTGAAGTCTGATTATATATACTCAATGTGCTTCAGTTGTAAAAAGTGAACTTGTGGCATTTCAGAGTTAGTTAAGAATGACTTATACACCCTGGCTCTATCAACTTCTTTATATATAAAACTGTGACTAAGAACACCTGCTTTTACCTTTCCAAATATAGATAAAACTACATACATATAGGCATAAAAATTATAAACAATTTCTAAGATGAATATAATGCGATATAATTCATCTGGTCACTAAAACACACTCAGATTCTAAATTTAGTCTTCTTTTTTCATGTGAATTAATTCCCAACCCAGCATCATTCTGAAAGTAATTGAAGAAAAGCGACTAAAGAATGGTGGATTTAGATTTCACTTGTGCTGTGTTAAAAGCCTGTCCCCTCCCCCCCTAGTAATTTATATCAAATCCAATAGCAGATTCACTAGAGGAAAAGTCTTGAACAAAGATTTGGGATTTAAAATTTTTCCACTAACATATGCAGCACCTCTACACAGTGTCTCCATCTAGTAAAAGGTGGGCTATGAAGAAGGATCACTCATGTATACCTAAACCTGTTATAAACCTGTTAAACACATTCCCCATCTCTTTCTCCCTCTGTCTTGTCCTGCAGCTAAGACCAAGGCCTTGTTCAAAGTCATGTGACTAGCAGAGGGCACTGATGGAGTGTGAGCACCCATCTATCAAACTGTGTTCTCACTCTCTGGTATACTCGTCACTGAATCACATATGCAGCAAGTTAACCAACACTTACTGAATGCTTACTCTCTACATGGACCTGCTTACAGGCTCTTGGGTTAGTGTAGAGAATAAATTCTGCATCTTTTTTTTTTTTTTAGTAGAGTTTGACCAATTGTGTATAATAACCCATTAAGAGCCTAAACAAAACCATAGCCCTTGTGTGACGTACTTGTGAATGACAAGTCATGCTTACCTACCACCTTTACACTCATAGTCCTGGTGAGGTGAAAGAGGCGTCCATTTTCAGAATATGTAACAACACATGTATAATTTCCATTATTTGAGACCAAGGGGATGAAAAAGGTCAAGTTCATACCATCAGGTACTACATTATGAAAATCCACTACTTCAGTACAACCCTAGAATAAGAAAAAGCTGTTCACTGTTTAGATACACGAATACACATAACACATGTAAAAAGTGGCTTTGACACCTCATTTACACAGAACATCTAAATATCTATGCTATACTTTTACAAAAATATTTATTTAAGCATCTGGATAATATTATTTGCAAAAAATATTTGTATTAAGTATAACATTTTTGTGCATAAGAGAAATTAAAACTCTAATTCAAGGTAAGACCTCAAAATCAAGCTTTCTGTTTCGGGTTCAGTTTTCGAATTCTTGGAATCCCTTCATGACAGTGAATCAAGATTCATGTTTTACAATAATAAGTAAGGAAATATGAATGACCGCAAGCCCTCCTCTAGAAGACAATCATAGGCATTTTTCTGTCACTCCTCACTGATTCTGCTAATTCAGGAATCTGGTCACTTTGGTAAACCTGAAACCAATTTTGACATACAATTTTGGTATTCTTGACCATTCTATTTCACTGAATTTCTCCATTAGTCATTTTCAACAACATTTTGTGTTTTTCTCTTACTTTATTCCATTTTTCTTTTACTTTTAATTGGTCACCCCAAAATGTATGAGCCTTATAAAGGCTCAAGAAGTTATTTCTGGTTCTAACTCATATTTTTTATATAAAGTAGTTGATATTTAAAATATAAAACTGGAGTTTTGTATTTTTTGTCTCATACAAAATAAAAACCATAGTCCGGTTTTATATTTCAGCCTCTGGCTATGTGGTTTTATTTTAGCAAAAAGTCAATGCATCACATGTGACAAAAATCCACTTTAAATATTTACTTTTCAAATTTCTTTGGTTTATCTTTTAAAACTTAATAATTTGTGAATGACAAAAATATTTTATCTTTTTTTTTTTTGGTTTTTCAAGACAGGGTTTCTCTATGTATTATATTATCTTTAAAGACCTGAGGTCTTTAAGTTTCTGGACATATGTTACTGACTTGCATTTTAAATTTCCCGTTATTTTACACATTTAACATTGAAGTCCTGGATGCTTAAGGTGGTTTTTTTCTTCTGCTTCAGTTCCTGGAAGGTGCATTTTGAAAGATGACAGTTACCCTCAGAAATGTATTTTGCAAGACTTTGTCACAGGAAATACAGTTGTGCCTCATGGAAATCAAGAGGAACTGATACTGGCTCAGGTATGACATTTTCTCAATCCGTTTCTTCTGTTGGGTAAGCAGCCCTTCCAGATACTTGTCACATCAGGACCCCAAGGTTACCACAAAATAGGAAGTCACAAAGGTTGACAACTTATAATGAATTCATGTCAGACGTGGTTTTGGCGGAGTTTAATATGTCTCTCGAACTCTATTTGACGGGACAGCACATTTCATTTGAACAGCAGCAAGATAACGCTCCTTCACTTGTTGACTTAGCTGTTCTTAAATCCCTGTGAAGCAGGCAGATCAGGCTGAAGGTGCCCCAGTTTTACTGATAAAAAAAGAAATGAGGTAGATAAAAAAACATCCTAGACAGCACAACACAGAGCTGAAACCCTTCCAGGTTCTAGAATAAAGGTCTCTCACTGGATTCTGAACTAAAAATGAAATTTTTATTCAAAAGCTGGGGTTATAAAAAATTACAGCAGGACATGTATTTAACATGCTATCTTATCTCATTTGTCCCAAACTTACTATTCTTATCCCATTTTATGAATGAGGAAACAAAGATGTGTAAAAGTGAACTGTTGATTTCTTACAGTTTGGTAGTGCTGGGAATGGAATTTGAACCTGGATATATTTATTTCAATTGTGAATCAAAATACATTTGTCTCAGAGCTTTTACTTTTAATACCACAGTACACTGTGTCCTCATCCCTATGTTGCGGCCCTACATCTATGCTATACTCCTGCATCTTTACCATGCCTTGTATCTATACCAAGGCCCCTGCATCTATACCATGCCTTGTATCTATACCAGGCCCCTGCATCTATGTCACACTCAACGCCAACTCCAGTGCTAATAGTGTGATATGCCTTGTCTCTACATTGAGGGCTAAACTCAAAAGCATATTTTCCCGCACCAAGAGGCAGATATTTTTACTTAATTTGTCAACAGCATCTTTGAGAATATATTGAAATCTGCTTCAAAGCTGTTAGGCCTGTAGCATTTTATGAATGAGAAGGGAGGAAATGTTTTACACTTTAAGTATGTACATGTGCAGTGTGGTACATTAACACATTGTTATATTACAAAAGCGCATTAATTTTAGCCGGTAGTGTTGAGTTGGAACTTTTTTCACACAAGTTGCTCCAACTCTAGACTCTTCAACGTGTGCCCCAAACACATTATTTTTGTAGATAATAAACTAATCCTGAAAATAATCTTCATGAGAGTTTCAGAGATACTTGCTTAGAATTCAGAAGAAAGCTGACATGAACAAAGACAGGTAGGTACTCAAATAACAGAGACCAGGTTTTCCAAAAACAAGGAACTAGTTAGCACTAAGTGAACTTCTTCAATGGAGAAGACACTTGTATGACTAGCAAACAGCCCTTCTACCTATTCCATCAGTTCCTCCTTCCGAATTCAAAAGAGAGAAGTTAAACACAAGAGCAGCCCACCGGCCACACAATGGTTGCTATGACAACCAACCACAGCATGTAAGTAGGGAATAGCACACAAAGTGATTTTGGGGATCCTCGAGAGGAAATACATGTGTGAGAAGATGAAGGCTGTGGGTAGGGTGATGTCACAATGAAGTAAAGAGTGGCTTCCACTAGAGAAGTCTATCACAAAACAGGAACTGCGTGAAAACATGACTGGAAAAGACATGATTTTTAAAAAAAAATCCTATGTGTTTTGCAAGTGGAAGATTGTCATAAATACAAAGGAAGGCATACTGGGGCCAAGAAGTGTATAATGAGGATCAAACAGTGAGCCTATAGGAAAAAAAATCTTACTGGAGAAAGGTTTGTGTTGGAACTTAAAATGAGATGGAAAATATTGAGAGCTATTGGGGGAAAGTAGAGACACATGCAAAACACTGTGGGCACAGGAAAGAGGGAGGAGCTCGCCTTCATTGTTGGAGTGCTTTTTCTCCCTGTTACTCCTTTACATTGCTTTATTATAATGTTAGTTTTCCTATAGTGGCCACCCTCCTCTGGGATATGAAGTCCTGTTGGGTCAGTGAAGGGTAGATAAGCACTGCATCTACATGGCCTGTGATTGGCTCAATATTGGCATATTGAGCTCGACATGTTTGTGCTACATGATTAAAAATGCAATAGGTATGAAAGCAGAACAGATACATGACACAGAACTGAGAGCTCATAGAATATGTGTGGGAGTAAAATATGGACCATTACATGTGGAGTCCATATTAGAGGGGACATGGGGAAAATGGGAATAAAAATATGAATAGTTTAAGTTGCAATGTCTGAACAGTTAGGGTTAGCTATGGAAGCTTCGAATCTATGAAAATCTTGGCATAACATATGCTGCACTTCCTTGAATTCTGTGAAGAGTTTCATAAGCCACTCATTTCCAATAAAGAGAACTCAGTCTTTCAGTGTTTATAAATATTTACAATGTCCCTTCTATGTGCCAGGCAATGTTAAGAGCTAGATGCATAATAATAAAAAATGAGATGGCATACATTTTCATGAAGTTTTACAACCCAATCTGAATCCATTATTCAATCAATTCTTAAGTGCAATGAAGATTGGCTCAGTCTTGTGCTGTATGTTGGATGTTCAAGAGAGGGAAAGAGAGAGAGAGAGAGAGAGAGAGAGCTCACACTTAGCACAGAACAAAGAAATATAATCCTTAACGATACAAAGATGAGCTATGAATTAGGTTCCCTCAATGTACACAGTGGATGATTCATTTGGCATGATTTAACCTCAAGGTTTCAAAATGTTAGTTTGATTTTTGTTTTCAGTTTAAACAATGAATTTTGGGTCTTCAGGAGCCCTAAAACCACATGCAAAATGTGTGTATGTATACTTAGAATATATGTATTCCAAGTGTGCAGCTCTCAAAGAAAATATGAACACATCGACTTCATGCCAAAAGTTAAAAATCCCTCTATATAGATTATTGCAAAAGGTAAGAGATGAAGAAGCATTCTAACAAGTTAATACAATCTTGCAGTAACTCAAAGTCTATCACACAGAGATTGGGTTAACTTCCCAATAGCATGTGCCATGATGAAAGAAGTCTGAGCATGGTAATTTTTCACAAATGTTCTTTTCTAAGGTTATGTCTTAGGGATTTTATTGTTGTGATAAATCACCATGACCATAAACAACTTGTGGAGGAAACGGTTTATTTCAGCTTACAACTCTCAAGTCACACTCCTTTGCTGAGTGAAGTTGGGGCAGAAACCTGGAGAGAGGAGTGGATGCAGAGGCCATGGTGGAGTGCTGCTTACTGGCTTGTTCAGCCTACTTTCTTATACACCTTAGGACTGCCTGCCTAGGGGTGGCACTACTCACAATGAGTTGGGCCACCCACGTCAATCATCAATGAGGAAAATGCCCTACAGTCTTGCCTATAGACGAATACTACGCATCATTGTAATTGGGGGTCTCGCCTCTCAATCTAGCCTATGTCAAGCTCATATTAAAACTCACCAGCACAATGTACTTTATCATAAACAAAAGAAAATAATTTAAATATTTTCTGAGAAACATCCACAGACAGTATCTGGCCAGTTGTGATTTATTTTATTTTGGATCTGGGAGGAGTTTGGGGAAGGGAATAGATTTATGAATTTTTTTTTTTACATTTAAAAAATATTGAAGTGGAGATACTGTGCCAAAATTAATCACAATGGGCATGAAGACATTCAGCTTTCTGTAAACTGCCATCTGTACTGACATCCATCCTGCTATATGGCAGGGGAGGATTTTCACAGTTAACATAATATTAACATACAAAACACCCAATAAAACAGTTTCCCCCATCTCAGGGAAAAGGGAAAATTGACCTCACTTTCACAAGTCTCTATAAAATGAAATTTGAAATAGACAACCATA